GGTGGCTCACTCCTTGCAGGAGTCTATATAGAGCTGATAGTGGCTTGGCAGCCACAGAAGTGAAAAATGTTGGTGTTCTGGATATATTTTGAGCGTCCAGGTTTGCTGATGCTTGGATGTAGGGTGTGAGAACGAGAAGACGAGTTAGGAGTTACTGCAAAGCTCCTGTCCTACAATTCTGAAAGATCAAAGCTGCTATTTCCTAGGGTGGGAAGACTGAGTGAAGCAGATATGGGAAAAGTGGGCTTCAGCATTTATGTAGACATGTGGGGTTTAAGAAGCTTGTTGACAGCCCAGGGAAGGTCAGGAGGCAGGAGGAGGTTAGCTGTGAGGAGAGGAGAGTCTGGGTTGGCAAGAGGAATTTGGGAGCCATTGGGGGCAACAGGTCTAAGAGTGGTGGGTGCCTTCAGGGGAACATCCAAAGAAGCTGAGCAGCATGGCCAGGAAGGGCAGGGAGGAGCCAGGAGGAAGGAATGGGGCGTCCCTGCAGCCCATGCAGGCAGAGGGAGCTTCAGGGAGGGAGCAGCTGACTGTGCCAGGTGCTACTGACAAGTCAGGCACAGGGGAAAGTGAGAACCCAACCTTTGGATTTGATAACACAGAGGTCACAGGTGACCTGGACACAGGCAGTTTATTGCAAGAAGACAGAAATTTGTTAGAATGGGTTCAAGATCAATCTAGAGGAGAGAAACTGGAGCCATGAATATAGGCCATTCATTTGAGGAGTTCTGCCGGGAAGGGGAGTGTGGGGTCAGTGTGACTTCTGTCACATGGCCGCTCAGAGTGTGATTATGTGCTGATGGCAGTGATGCAGTAAGACAGGGAAACTGAGGCAAGGAAAGAGAGGAGAACAGAGCTGTGTCATTGAGTAGCCCAGAGGGGCTCGGAAGGGGGAGTGCAGCCTTAGGAGCAGGCAGTCTGCCCACAGTCCCAGGAGGGCACAGCATGTACAAGAGCAGATGCAGGGTGATGGCAGGTGTGATGGTGGAGCCCAGGATGTTCCCTGGGGGTCCCTAGAGCAGAACAGAGAACGTCAGCATCACCTGGGTCCTTGTCAGATATGTAGACCCCTAGGCCACTCCTGAAGAACCAGAATCTGATCCCCAGGGGACTTGTATGCCTGGCATACAAATGTGAGAAGCTCGGTCTAGGCACAGATGTGGGCCAAATCCTGCCCAACACACCCGGCTTTGTTTATATATAGTCTGTAGCAGCTGCCACAGGGACCCCGTAGCCTGCAAAGCCTAAGATAGTTACTATCTCGCCCTGTCCAGAAAGTTTCTTTAGGGGTGTATGGACGTGGGACATCACTGGATTAGGCCTAAGGACAGCAGAATCCCTGGAGGGAAGTTCTTTGCTAAAACAAAGATGTGGCCACCTCAAGTCACCGGGGTGTGGCTTTTGATACAGGGGTCTGAATGTGCCTTTCCCATAAGTTCCCAGCCAAAGCAATGCTGGTCTAGGGACCACACTTTGAGACCCCTACATCTGGGGCAACTGGTGCTGTTGCCAGCCTTGAAGTCTGTGGCCTTGAGTTTTGTGTGGGACCAGGTGGTACGCTTGTGTCTTGTCTGTCTGTAGCCACAAGCCACCTGGCACAGGGCAGAGCAAGCAGAGGACTGGAGAAGTGGGCAGCCTTGGGCCAGAGGTCAGAGGATGGGGAACTGGGGCCGGAGGCAGAGGGTTGTATCAGTGAGACGAGATTCTGGGAAAGACAGGACTGAAAGATTCAGTCCTGAGGGTTGTAGATGTTGTGGGGTCAAGGAACTGTCAGTCCTGGGGTCTTCCTGGATGGACCGTATGAGGTGCTGGTCGGGGAAGAGCTGGGTCTCCTCTGTCCCCTTTCCAGGGGAGAGGCCCACTCCCTCCCCACCCAGCTCAGGTATCCTCCTCCTGTCCCTTCTACCCACCTGTGCTCTGTTTCCATAACAATCCTAAACAATGCCTGGTTGCTTTCTCCTGCACTTGAGACAGCGACATTGTGCAACACGAGGCCATGAGCCGTCTGAGCTGGGTGTCATCTGGCTGCTAGGGAGAGGGAGCCTTTCATGTCACAGCCTCCATCTGGCTCTCCTGTGCCTTTTACCTGCCTGGGCCAGGCCAGCCTGGGTCTGGAGCGTGCCTCCTGCTGTGGTAGGATGCTTGTCGAGTATAGTGATGTACACAGCCGCAGGGCACACACGGGGCAAGGAGGCCTGCTGTGTGGGCCTTCCCAGTCAGTGATCTGGGGGGTATCTTGGTGATGGTGTCACAGGCTCAGCAGGGGATATGAGGAGTCTATGGAGAAGGGATGCTGGGTGAGGAAGATTTGGTGAGTGAGATGTAATTCTGGAGAGGGAAGGACCTTTTCCCACGCACAAATTTAAGCTCCTCCTTGCCCAGGGTCTTAGCCTGTGTGTTCCAAGGGCTCTGCCCGGCACATGGTTGGTCTTGCCTTGATGATCAGGGCATGCACTGCTCATCCTGCCAGAGGTGTCTTGTGTGAGGGAGGTCAGTCTGCGCAGGTCTGTGTCACACCCTTGTGTATCAGGAGGGTACACTGAACATCTTTTCTCACTTTAAAGAGAATGTCCCATTACTTCTTTGCTGTCCATACAGTTCAGTATGTTTGAACTGCATTTAAAATTTTCCTAAGAGCCACAGTGTTCATCTGATGGGTCCTCCCAGCATTCCAAAGGGAGGATTCTACCCGGATGAGGCTGGGAGCACCCTGTCTCTAGCACTTAGCCCGTTTCCCCACAGGGGGCCCTGCAGCACCTCCCCTGCCCTCTGGCCAGCTGGACAGAGGCATCTTGCTCCAGGTCCCTGGTGTAGTGTCCCCACTGTATTGTATGGTGTTTTCCTTGATTTGAGTAGATCCCCCCAGATGACACCCTGCCCCCATCCTGCAGAGCTCAGGGACTGAGTTTGTGTGAAGCACTCAGCTCTTTATGGTTTTCAACAAGCCCCCCCTTCACGTTTTATTGCTGAGAACAGACCTTTGTCCCTAAGCAACCCAAAGGCAGGTGGCCGCCTGGGAAGCCAAGACAGGTAACCTGGAGCAGTGACCACGGAGGACAGCCAGCAGAGTGGCCTGGTACCTAGTGCCACTACACGATCCTGCCCTTGTTTTCCTTGAGAAGTCTTGTCACTTGAATCTCAACTTCGTTTGCCTTCTCTTCTCTTCCTCTGGCAGGCAAGTTCAGAATGTCCACACAGGCATCGACCTGTCTGTGCCCCAGCACCAGGAGGTGCGGGGCAAGATGATGTCCGGCCACGTGGAGTACCAGATCCTAGTGGTGACCCAGCTGGCTGCGTTCAAGTCCGCCAAGCACAGGCCTGAGGATGTTGTCCAGTTCTTGGTGAGCTGGGGACTATAGCCAGGAGGCTCTGAGGGTGCCCCGAGTCCAGGCAGGCATACACACGTATCCACCAGGGGCAAGTGGCATCAGGGAGTGGGCAGTTCTCTATCCAGTGCTCACTCAGAGCCTGGGACAGTAGGGACACGAGTCAATCAGACTTTTTGTAAAGAGACAGATATAGATGGTGACAGAAGCACACAGGGGCTCTAGGGGCATGGAGAAGGGACATCTAACCCATCCTAGGGAACAGATTCCAGAAACTTGCCAGATAAGGTGAGGGCTAAGCTGTATTGTAAAGAGCAGGTAGAGTTCAGTGGGAAAAGAGGGGAGAAGGGTGTCACAAGTGGAGGGCACAGGCTAAGCAGAGGCTGGAGACTGGGTATTGTGAGGGGAACTCTGAGCAGTTGAGCATGGCCCTGAGTCATGGAGAGTGTTGGGGAACCAGCCGGACCTGTCCTACAGCCATGGAGGAGTTTCAAGCAGGGGCGTGACATGGTCCTTTATCCAACTGGTCTGGTGGGAACATGGACATGGATTAGAAGGAACAAGGCAGGCAGCAGGGAACCCAGTTAGGAAGCCACTACAGTAATCCCCAAAGTAGGCAATCCCCAAGGTGAGCACTTGGAGTAGGCCGGTGGCAGTGGGTTTGGGGGAGAGGGAGAGGGAAGTATTTTCAAGGTAGCATGCACGTAATTGCTGGCTGCTTCCACCCACTGAGATAAAGAGTACCCCTGCAGGGGCAGATCTGAGGGGCACGTGTCCATATCAATCAGACCAGTGGACTGATATCTGAGGCCGGTGCTCTGGACCTGGTTAGGCCTAACTGCCAAGGCAGGTTTGGGAATCAGCTTGGAGGGGATGTTAAAAGCCTGGGAGTGGATACGTTGCCCAGAGAACAGATGTGGAGGGGGAGGGGAGGGGCTCAAGAGGAAACCGTGAGGCCATTGGCAGTCCCATGGAGAAGGGAGCGTCTATAGTCAAGGCAGAGTGGGGAGAGCTGGGTGACTATGAGGTCTCAGGGGCTGAGGAAGGAGAGAGTTTCAAGAAGGGACGAGATTATTACTAAAAAGTTACTGGTTGGCTCTGAATCTCCTGGCAGCCACAACAAAAAGGGAAATGATAAATTGCCTTGCTCTGGTGACCTATTCAAAGACACACTTCATTAAGAGAGATTTATGGCACGGATCTTTCTTTAAGGGACATTCAGCAACATCATGGGAAGTGTTGAAAACAGTGCTGGTTTTCATTTCATTGCTCCTGGACCAGCTCTCGGTGAGAGCAGAGATGTAGTGTTAGGAAGGGGTTCTGGGTCTGCATTGCTCCTGTGGACTCAAGTAAATGACAGAGGTGAAAATCTCAACCAGGGGAGAAAAACGTGCACTGTGGACAAGCCGTGGCTGTGTTTTCCAAAAGGGCAACTTGGAACCGTCAGCATTTTACAGGCTGTGAAAGAAGGAAAAAGAAAGTGGGGGTGAGGGGTGATGAGGCAAAGTGGTTACATTCTCCTGAGGCCCAGGAAACTACATTTTACATAAAATAAGGGGAATGATAGAAGGGGAAGAAAAGAATTCTTTTGCTGGCAGCAAAAGAATTATGTAGATGTCTTTAGATGGAAGGATGTTTGATGCTGTGTCTTTACTTTCCTTACCTGTAAAGATAAATTTGTAATTCATTAATGCTATTAGTGTGGAATCAGCAGACTTTAGCTTTAGGTGCTAGATGTAGGTCTAATTCGCTTATCATTGCTTATGGTGGGGGATCAGCAAAGACTGTCCCTAATGAGTGATCTGTGGGACCAGTTCTTCACGGACCTTAGCTTCTGTTTTGCGTAAGGAGTTGGGTGGATGGCCCTGAGATTTAGATCTTCTGTTTACACCCTGAATGTGCCTCTGCTCTACAGGGCAGGTTGCATCTCCTAGTGATCTGACTTGACCCAGGATGGAGCTCAGCATACCCATGTTTTCAGAAGAAGAGATTTTTGCTTGATTTGCAGGGCATCCAGAGGCAGCATTCTGGGAGCCTTGAGTTCAAGAAGCTGCTCACTTGGTCCTGCACAAAGGTTGGCCTTATTCAGGAGGCCAGAGGGGTGGACATGAGGACGTTTGTAACACCTTCCTGTGCCACACCAGTGCTACTTTTTCCTTATGGAGTATGTGTGTGTGTACAGGAGCTTTTCATTTTGAAGTATCCTTGACAGCAAAGGAGAACTGCTCTGTGCTCAGGGATCTGATGGTGTAGCATCAAGCATGAAATCTCCTAGAAGTTTCATCATTTAGCTAAAAGAATTAGTGAGCATTTTATATCTACTCCTTTAAAGGTGTCATGTGTTTTAATATGAATATGTATTTAATAGCTAACCTTGAAGTAAAACAGGGCTCCAGGCTGGGGTGCTCTCATGCAGGGTTTGGGGCACCCCCGCGTGTGCTGGCAGTGCAAGCATGTACACAGTTATGGTAGACGCTGTCAGCCTGGTGCCTGGCTCACTGGGACACTGGGTAGATGAGTTCCCAGCCTGAGCTCCTCTACCCTTGGTGCCTCTCACTTGACTGCCTCTTGTTTGCCAAGGCAGGTGGCTGCCTGGGAAGCCCTGTCTGGAACAGTGATGGTTGTAGGCCCTGCATGGGGTGAGCTCCTAGCCTTACAGTTCCAGGCCCCTCAGGGCTACCAGTGCCCTGGAGCTCCCAGGACCCTGGGACTGGGGACGTCTATGGGCCAACGCTGCATGGAGCTGTTAGGCCAGCAGGGTGCGCCCGGTCTCCACCAGGGCCTGCTCTGCCTGGCTGGCTGGAGTTACTAGGGCCTGGGGACAGCCTGGGCAGAGTGTGAAAGGATCCTCTTGCTTCTCCTGAGAGCCTTCTCAGGAAAGCTCCAAAGCCAGGTTCTTGTTTTGACAGCTGCCACAGTAGCTCCCTGTCCCCGGGGAATCCCCTCTAAGGGGGTTCTGGAGTTCCCAGCCACCTTCTGGTATCTGGAAGCTCCTCAGGCTGGGGGCTCTGGAAGCGCTGCTGGTTAGCTGCATGCTGGCACTCCAGTGGTGCCTGTGGGTGCACCTAGGCGTGAGTGACTGTCCTTCACCCTGAGTGCTCCCACAGAGTCAGGGGAGATAGGCCAGCCTGTGGGGAAGCACAGAGGAGCCCAGGACTGAGGGTGGATTCCAGGCTGGTGGTGTGTACAGAGAGCAGGAAATGGGCGATGGCACTGAGAGCTGCTGGGGTGTCCCCATGTAGAGTGAACTTACAGCAGGAGCTCAATGAGTGAATGAAGCCAGAGCTGCCTAGGAATCATGGGGAGAGGTTGAAGAGGCGGCCTGGTCAGCCCCAGCCCTGCAGGGAGCTGAGTGCAGCCCTTAGCTGATGAAGACGGCATGGCAGGAGCCCCAGCCTATTTTCCTAGGCCCTGGCACACAGAGGGACCCTAGCTGATGGTACCTGCTGCCACTGCTTATATGGACTAGCATGCCAAAGGCTTCTGCTGGCTCCCAGGAGAGTGATCCAGAGATCTGTACAGAGAAAAGGTGACTCACAGTGTTGCAGGGGACAGCCCACCTCCCTGCCAGATGGTGAGAGCACCCTGCTGATGCCCTGGAAGCCCAGCATGCAGGCTGCAGTGACATGTGGTCACTTGAAGGCCAGGCAGGGGTCTCTGTGTCATGTGTCTCTGCCTGGGACCTATGACAGTGCCCAGAACAGCACCTTTATGGCATCTTTCCTTTAGACCATTAGGACATTTGTAGTTGAGCCTCTGTTTACTAGGAGGGTTGAGGACCAGAGCCCGAGGCAGGGCCAGCAGCATATTGCCTGTGGCCAGTGCCACCTCCAATCTCCAGCTGTGGGGACAGCAGCTCCCTCTCACTCTTCACTGAGGAAACCACATGCTCCTCTCATTCCAGGTCTCCAAAAAGTACAGCGAGATTGAGGAGTTTTACCAGAAATTGAGCAGTCGTTATGCAGCAGCCAGCCTCCCCCCACTCCCCAGGAAGGTCCTGTTTGTTGGGGAGTCTGACATCCGGGAAAGGAGAGCCGTGTTCAATGAGATTCTGCGCTGTGTCTCCAAGGATGCCGAGTTGGCTGGCAGCCCCGAGCTGCTAGAATTCTTAGGTACCTGAGGCTCTGTCCCATGTCCCTAAAGTCTCCCCAGCCCAGAACTAGGCCTCACTGCCCTGACCCAGTGAGGGGACAGGTCTCCAGCCGCTCTCTGCAGCTGGGAAAGCCAGGAAGCTTCAGCCAGGAAGCTTCAGCCAGGCTGCTGAGACCAAATGGTGAGCAGGAGACCCACCCTGGAGGGACTCGCATAGGTCTCCAAAGTGTGACCCCACCCCTGGGCTTCCTGATCTGCCCCATCCCTGGAAGCTTCCCCGACCCCCCCCCCCCGTCACCCACACTACATACTCCCACCTGTCCACCTTCTGCCACCCCGGGGTCCTGTAATACCCAGGGAAGGTCATGAATGTACCTCCAGACTGAGACATGGTCTCACTGATCCAACACCCCTGCCTCAGGGAGGAGGCTGGGACTTTCCCATCAGTGTCCCACCCCCTCTTCTCTTGGCAGATTTCTCATCTGTAAGACGTAGATAACCTGGCTGGCAGGTGGTTGTGAGATCAAGTGAGCTAATACCTGTGAAATGCTTAGAACAGAGCCCACCACATGTAAATGGTGACTGAAGTCGCACCCCACCCCTGAGAACCCCTAGGCAGGCTCCAGTTTGGCACCGATGCTGCCAGGGCAGGGCGGGAAGGTTCTCCTGGGCCTCAGGGTGGAGAGAGGCCCCCCCTGGTGGTGCTAGGCTCTCACTCCTTGACTTCTCCCTGCCTTTAGATCAGTCTGTTCAGCTTTAAATCTATTCTCACCTACTGTAAATCTCCTAGTTCCATGTATCAGAAATTGTTTTCAAAACAAGTTGATGGCAGATAAACTAATTGAAAAAAATCGGGGTGGGGAATAAAGAGCGAAGCCAGGGTATGTGCCGAAGGCCCGGGACTTGTGTGTCTGTTGCCCCACCCCCACAGGTCTGGGACACCTGTTCCCTTGATGCCTGTCTTGGAGGCTGTGGTCCAGTGTGGCTGGAGGAGATGTCAGGATGGCTTGGCTCCCCCCTGTGTGGAGAGGCACTGTGGTGTGGGCCAACTTCCCCAGCCACCCTGGGTCTCAGTTTTCTCATCTCTAAAGTGGAGGGACAGTAAGGACTTCTTCCTTCATAGAGTTTTTGTGATATTTAAATGTAAAGTGCTTATTACGTGATGTTTATTACACTTAATTGAAGGTTCTTGAGATTTGGAATAGTATTTCACATTTGTCCAAATAAAGTAATAGCATAAAGTACAATCTAATCATCATTACTCAGTACATCCTGTGTGCCAGACACTCTAAATTCTTTATCTATAATGTGATTTTTTTTTAAGTTGATGCTTTCAAAGATAAACTACCCAGGAACTGTTTGGATAGAGGAACAAGTAGTTAAACCCGCACTTAACTTAAACTGTCCATGGAGGAAGGGCTAGCTGTCTCATTCCCAGCCCATCATGGGCAGGTACGGTCATGAATTCAGAATCATGTGCCTGGATGTAATGAGAGAGTGAAGTGGCTATGGAAGTTTCTGGATGTGTGCTCTCCCTTTCTGTGCTTCCTTCATAGTAGACACCTCTCTGCAACCACACTTTGAAAAGCACAGGTCTGCTGGGCACAGTAGCTCACGCCTGTAATCTCAGAACTCTGGAGGCCGAGGCAGGTGGATTACCTGAGCTCAGGAGTTGGAGACCAGCCTGAGCAAGAGTGAGACCCCTGTCACTAAAAATAGTTGGGCATTTTGGGCTATATAGTTCCTGCTATTCAGTAGGCTGAGGCAAGAGAATCTTATGAGCCCAAGAGTCTCAGATTGCTATGAGCTGTGATGCCATAGCAATTTATCAAGGGCAACAAAGTGAGACTCTGTCCCCCCCACCCAAAAACAAAGATCGAGAAGTACAGGTATCAGCCAGATACCTGTATGATGGTGATGGAGTGATCATAATCTGTTCCAGAATCTTCCATGTGCTCACTCTGTGCACGCATCAAGTTCATGGCCTCTGTCCATGGTTGGATTGGCAGATCTCCTTGCCGTGCTTCTTGACTGTGATACAGTCCTGGAGGTATAGGTTTTCTCTGAATGGCCCTGTGCCTGGGTGTCTATCCCACAACTAGCACATGTGGGCTGCATGTCTTCCAGAACTGCTGCCTCTGTCCTGTGACCATTCCAGGATTCCCTTGGGGGGCTGCAGCAAGCACTTGAGTACCCCCTGGAATGGTGGTCGCCTCCCATCCACTCAGACTCACTATCCTGGCTCCGAGCAGAGTCTGTCCCAGGACGCTGCAGGAAGCCCTCAGCCTCAGATTCTAGTATGGTCTCGGTGCAGTGTGCCGAGACCTGCCCTGCCTCTGGGGCTGGGTGTCAAGTCCCTTCTCCTCTGTCTTCCTCCACAGGCACCAGATCCCCAGGGCCTATGGGTCTCGCTAGCAGAGATTCCTCTGTCCTGGATGATGCACACAGCCAAGCAGGGAACGATGAGGATGCTTTTGACTTCTTTGAGCAGCAAGATCGAGGGGCTGGTGAGGGTCTGCCCACCCTGGGCCTGAAGGACGAAGACGCAGAAAAGACCCTAAAGGAGGAAGAAGAGGAGGAGGAGGAGGCATTGGATCCTCTGGGCATCATGCGGTGGGTCTCCCATTGTTGAGAGGGCTCTCCCTGCCTTATGCCAGGCCTTCTAGAGATGACCCCTTGTTCCCTGTGCAGGCATCTGGGCCATGAGGCCTTGGCCTGGTGTGCTCAGGGACGGGCTCTTTGCGTGCCCTCGGCATCACCCTTGTCTCTAGGCCTGGGCTCAGTATCACCTGGGCATATACTATATCTCATTAATTCATTGCTTACCTGCCTTACAAGCAGCTCTCATTAAGCCATTTTACAGATTTAAAAAGTGAAGTCTTCAGAGGCCAAGTTCTGCACCTGAGGTCAGACAGCTGGTAAATAAGGTGCTAGGGTTTGAGCTGAGTTTATGATCCTGGTCTCTGGAGCCAGACTGCCTGGGCTTGAGGCCCAGCTCTGCCCCGACAGCCACGTGTGTCTGGCCATTTACCTTTTCATCAGTTTTCCTCAGCAGAAATGAGCCCATGACAGTACCTACCTCTTAGGGCCTTTGTGACAATGAAACAAGTTGATGTAAATGTTAGCAATTAGCTGTCATCACAGCCCCCTCTTTCAGTGGGATCAGACCAGACCGAGAGGTGCTGTTCCCCCTGCTCCCTACCACAACAGGTGGGTCTCAGAGGTGCACTGAAGTCCCCAAGCAGCAGGTGAGGGAACCTGTCCTGTAGGTCCTGCTCTAGAAAGAAATTAGAGCTGATTAGAAAACAGGCAGAGGCGAGTCTGGCTGCAGCAACATGCAGAACGTGGTCCTAGAAGCTGGAGCCAGCATGTACGTAACCTTCCTCTCAGGGTGGGCTGCAGGGTGGCGGCGAGACCAGCGTGGAGGGATAGGGAAAGGTGTCTGGTGCTCAGGGGGCCGGGGTCCTGTAGCACCTTGGTGCATCAAGTGCCCACAGCAAGGCCCCTCTGAGTTCCTTCATGGCCAGCCTTGTCCTGGAGCAGCAGGTCAGCGGCTGTGAGGGAGAGGCAGCCAGGGTGGCAGTGATGTCAGGAGAAGCCTGGAATAACCAGTCTTTATCAAACTTAACCAAGCCCGAAGGCCCTTCCTGGGCTTATTTTGGTCAGGACAAGGCTTTGTTTGAACTCATGCCCTCCGTTGTTCTGAGTAACCACACGCAATGCCAAGCTGAGATGGACTTGGTAGTTTTTGCCAGTCTTTGGCTGAAGGACGTCCTTAGCAAGTGGCTCCTTTTTTGGGTAGGAAAATGCTCTTTGGTGTTGGCAAGTGCTGCCTTGAATTTCCTACTTTATTAGCAGATTGTCAGGGACGATGTATCAGCCGGCCTGAGACCACCTGCCCCAGCTCCGTACCCTGGCTCTTTGCTCCAAGGGTCCTTGCCCTGAATTTTAGGAAGGCTCAGCACCAAAGAGGAATCCTAGAGGCTTCAGACCATCTCCTGCCAGGTTTTCTTTTAAGGACCCATGTTACAACAGTTGGTAATATCACCTCCAGCAGGCGTAACAAGTAACATTTTCGGAGAGCTTATTAAATGCCAGGAACTAAGTTAGCATTTGCTTGCATTATCTTAAGAGAGTATTTCTGAAATGCCTTGCTGTAATCCACAGTAGAAATTATATTGCGTGTTATGACCCAAGATACACATGTACATAAATGTCTGGTAAAACAGATGAAGTTCCGGGAACTCAAAGTTTTACCACGTGTATTGTACTGATGTTTTCTCTTCTGTTTCATTCTTTGGAAAGGGGTTATGACTCAGTACACTGTTTTCAGAATCCGTTATGGATACAGTTTAGGAAATGACTCATTTGTGTATCAGGAAACTAGCCGGGAGTCCAGCAGCTCCTCCACGTTCCCGCAGCCTGCAGATGGCAGTGCCAGGGCTTGACACCATCTCCAGTCCAGTCTGGGAGGTGGGTAGGTTAGCATCACCCCCTTTCACAGATGGAAAAATCAAGGACAGAGCTGAGCAGGAACTTGGCCAGAGCCTGGTGTGTGGCAGAACAGTGCCTTGAAGCCAGCATTGCACCTCCGCCTTGTGTAGCCATCAGGTGGGCTTGTTGACTATTTTGTACAGCGGGAGATGTTCTTATCTTTGCAGGTGACTTATGTCCTCTGTACATCTCTCTCCATCCCCTGCCCTTTGCAGACACAGCAGCCCTGACTTTTCAGCTGTGCCCACTCCCCTTACCCAAACTCCTGTCCGGGCCTGGCTCAGGGCTTTCCTGGAATCCATACCATTTCCCTGTGACAGGCCTCAGTCCTTCCCGGCTGTGGCCACCATGAGGCGCTGTTGCTCCACTGCAGGGTGGCCTGGGAGGCTGGGAGTCGCCAGCACAAAGCCCGGCCCAGGCTAGCCTGGCTCCTCTTTGTCTTTTAAACCTGGTTTTGATTGGGGACCCGCTGGGCTTTTCCACCCTTACAGAGCACCTAAAGGTAGAAGCAGCCTCACCCTGGCCTGGCCCGGCACTGCTTTGCTCTGCCCCTCGCCTGCTGGGGCTTTTTCCTGACCCTGTCCCAGCTCATCCCGTGACTGCAGACAGAGTGCCTGCCCCTGCTTACTCTTGCTTTTCCCTTCCATGTCGCACATCGTATCTGTATTTCACTTTCCACTTCGGAGACTTCACGGCGCTGAGAGAATTGAAGTTCTCCCCTAATATTTCTGCCTTCTGCTGGAAATACTCTGCTAGAAACATTTTTCACTGTGACTCACGTAATACACAATTAGTACAGAAAAATTGAAAGCACGGGTAAAAGTCTTTTCTCTGTGAGTTTTTTAATTCACTTTTGAATATTCACATCTTATTACCAAAATGGAATTGGGTTGTATGCGCCATTCGCTAATTTGCTTTTTTCAGCTTGAGTATCCTGAGTCTCTCCAGATCAGTATATATCCCGTCCCTTAGTGCCCTGCTAATCTCTCAGGTCGTGGTGCCGTGAGTGGCATAGCCTGGCCCCTGCTTGTGGACGTCGTGTTTTCCATAGGTTTCAGCTGTTACAGGCAGTAACTGAGGAACTCGAACACATGCAGAGCTTTAATGCTATTTTGCTTTTCCTCCAGGTATATGGCAAGACCCCCCACAACTTCCTCTGGGGACTTTGGTGTCAAGTCAAAGGGTTCTTTAAGGAGTGAAGCCCCTCTGTTGGCAGGGCCCCCCCCCCACTTTCCCAAACCTGCCCACCCTCAGGGCCCACCCCCTCTAGGCCCCAGTCCCTGAGGACCCTGAGCTTCCCTCTGGACAGGCTGGTTGCCGAGTGAACACACCTGTCTGCCGGGTGGGGTTTCCCAGACTCTCCCACAAAGGGGGAGCCAGCACCCAGCGCCCAGTGCCGTGGCCTCAAGTGGTAGTGCTGGATGTTTCTTGGAACACTGTTGTATTGTTGGGGTTTGTTTTGTATGGATTTGGAATCATCTTCCATAAAATCACCATGCACATTTTAGTATAAAAATAATACCTTACTTTCTATTTTGGGCGAAATCACCATTCCAGGGTGATTCTGTGGTTTTAAATGCCCTCAGCACACTGGCAGGTGCCCCCAGATTTGCTAACCCAAGATTTAGAAGAGAGACAGTGCCCAGGGGTAAGCTCCCTCCTGCTGAGTATCAACACGTCGCTCGCTGGCACGGTGCCTTTTATTTGTTCTGCCCAAGCCTGGGCACCCAGGCACCCCCTCAAGGCCGCCAGCGCAGCAGAGGCCAGTTGGAAACCCTGTCCCACCAGGAGGTTGGCATAGAAGTAGCTTCCAGGCCCCCACTGACCTGGGTGGGACCCCAGACTCTGTGTTTTAACAAGCTCTTAAGGCAGTTCCTGTGCAAACTTCTGTCTGAAAAGCCACAGAAACCAAACTCCATTAAAGTCTTAGAGATGCCAGAAGGAAATAGGCCCCCAGCAGAGCAGGTCACCATGGTCTGCCACCCACAGGGGTCAGGGAGAGACCTTCCTCTCTGCTCCACAGCTCCTCCTCTTTGAACCTGAGGTTTCTTTCTTTTGCCAGCTGCCTGCGAGGGGACCTCCCCGGTGTGCCATGCTGGGGGCAGTTATGTGCCATGTGGGGGCTGGGGTAGCTAGGCCTCACCTCACCCTGCACCACTGTGGCACTTAGCCCTGACCTGGGCAGGGACCCAAAGCCATGAGGAATGCAGGAGGTGGGTGACACAGCCACCCTGCAACATCACACAGGCGACACTCCACGTGAGTTGTCTCTGCAGCTCAGCATGTCAGCACATCCCCGCTCCCTACCAGGCCACTGCGAGACACCAGCCTGAATGGATGGACTCTTAGGGACAGCAGATAGAGCAGTGGTTTCCACTTTTTAAGTTCAGTTGCAGAATTTTTGGCTCCAGAGAAATCTATAGAAACCCATTTTAAAAACCAGAATGAAGTAATCGCCCCAGTTGGGACCGATGTAGGGTCTGAATCTTTGTCCCCAGCCTCAGCCCCATCTCCTGAGGCGGCCCTGGGCAGCTTTGCAGAAGGTCAGGGCTCCTGGGAGCATGGCTGTACAGTGACTGGGAAGACTGGACGCCCGAGGATGTGTGGCCACCCCCAAGCGGGGTCATGTACCGTTCTGCCCTTGCCATTTGGTGGTCACTGACTGGGCTGCTGAACTGCACAGAGCCTCAGTTTCTGCTCTTGTCAAGTAGGGATAAAGTCCTGGCCCAGTGGTTGGTTAAAAAGGTAAAACCAGATGAAATACTAGAGGAAAGTTTCTAAATGTTATCACTATTTCAGACTTACTTTGCTCTAAAGAGGTCTTTGTGTGTGTTATTTTTACTATCATTATTATTATTATTTTGAGACAGTCTCTTTCTGTTGCCCTGAGTAGTATATCATGGAGTCATAGCTCACAGCAACCTCAAAACTTAGGCTTAGGCGATCCTCTTGCCTCACCCTCCCTAGTAGCTGGGATTACAGGCACCTGCCACAATGCCAGCTAGTTTTTCTACATTTAGTAGACATAGGGTCTCACTCTTGCTCAGGCTGGTCTGGTCTCAAACTCCGGAGGTCATGCAATCTTGAGCTCATTTTGGCCTCCCAGAGTGCCAGTATTA